CCTGGAATCTTAACCCATACAGGTGCTGTTCGGGCCATCCCCTCATTGGAAGGGAATTATAGCTTGAGGCTCCAAATTACCCAGCACTACTCCTTCAATTTTCAGCTGCAGTGGCCATCCCAAACTCCATCCTCTACCTTCAAGAGCCAATAAGCCGGTGGCTTCCTGTTTGAGGTCTGGCTGAGTAAAGTAGAGAGCCCTCAGGGAAAAGCAGCTCTTCTTTCAAGCTGCCTCCCCTCCAGCTCCCAGCTGCTTTTTGTCCTTCTACAGTGTCTTCAGACAGCTGTTTCATACATTTTGTCCACATTTCATTTTGCTTTGGGGTTCTGCAGTTACTCGAAGTGGAAACTTTACCTTTTGACTTTTGAACCTGTAGTCAAATCACCTAATCAAAAAGTGAACTATTAAAACACGACAAGCGAACAAAATTGAACATTAAGGCCCACTGTAAAGGCAGACGATTCTCTGATGTTTAAGCCAGAGGATGCCCTTTTTCAGTCAGAGTGCACCTTGGCAGAGCGTGGCCCTAGGCCCCGCCCCCACCCGCACACCACGCCCCTCGGGGCCCGCCCCATTCACGCTCCGCCCCCTCGGTCGCGCCCGTTTCCATGGCTACCCGGCGACAGGCCGGGGCAGCCAGGCCACCGAGTGGACGTGCAGCGGCGGCAGCGGAGGCGGCGGCGTAGGTGACATGAGCGCGGCAGGGGTGGCAGCCGGGCAGCGGCCCCCTAGCTCGGGAACCCAGGGCTCCCGGGGCGCATCGCGCCTGCGCCAGCGCCAGCCAGCAGTCCTCCAGCACCCCGGGCAGCACGCCACTCAGCTCGGGATCAGCGAGGCACAGAAGCGGGTCCTGGACCTGGAGAAGAGCCTGCAGTTCCTGCAGCAGCAACACTCGGAGACGCTGGTCAAGCTCCACGAGGAGATTGAGCACCTGAAGCGGGAGAACAAGGGTGACTATGGGCTGCGGGGCCGGGGCGGGGCGCCCCCACGCGGTCGGGCCCGGAGACATGCAAACCTGCCTCCCCCGTACCCTCCCAGGGCATTCAGCACCAAAACAGCACTTGGATTCTAGAACACGCAGGGTTTAGAGAAGACACAGTGGAGCAAGCCCCAACCGGGGTCCCGCCACATGGATCTCCAGCTCGAGATCCCTGCCCCAGGCCAAAAACCCCAGGCCATCATCGTGGGAGATGCCCTCCTGGCCATCTGGCCATCTGCCCATCTGGCCAGGGCAGGTCTGGCTGCATCATTTCCCACAGTCACCTGGCCAGCAGTCTCCTCTGTGGTCAGGGCCAGGTCCACCCCGTTTTTAAAAACTTTATAGAAGTAAAACATGCCCCCCAAAGTAGGAGTATTAGGCTCAGTGAATTTTCACACACTAAACACACCCAGATCAAGGGCAGACGTGCTGGCCCCAGAAGAATTCCTGGGCCCCATCCAGCCCCTCCACAGATGCCTTGGCCCCTGTGCCCATGCAGCTCCTCAAGGGAGACTTCCTTTCCTAACTCTGTACCCCATTTGCCTCCTCACCTCCATAGGCCAGGCCTGAAGCAGAACTTGAGGCTCCATGATGGGACCTTGCTCCTCTGGCCTTTAGTTAGAGCTTTCTGCCCACACATCTAGACCTGCCTGGGTTTCTCACTCTCTTTTCTCCTGCTGCCTTTACCTGGAGTGCGAAGTACTCCATCATTGGATATCCATTATATCAGGACTCTGCCCTCCCTATGCCTTCTGGAGTCTCACTCCAGTCCTTCCATGGTGTCCAGGCTGGATGTTGCCAGCCCATGTTGTCTTGGGTGTCAGTCGGTTGTTGCATTGACTACATCTGCTCACCCACAGCCAGGGGCTTCTGGAGAGCTCGGACATCCTGACTCATCCCTGTACCTCTGGAACCAGGCCCCCACCCGGTAGAGGGTACCCTATAGATATCATGGAGAAGGGGTGGATTTGGGGCAAGGCTCTCATGCAGGGCCTTTGGCTCGGGGAATAGCCAGAGGCATTCCTTGCCTGAGGATGCCCAAGGCCAGGCTTAGCCCACGGGGAAGGGTCTCTGCAGCCAAGGATATGAATGAAGTCTCTTGGGGAACTCAGCAGGGAGGGAGTGGGCAGGTCAAGCCAAATTTCTCTCAAAAGGGCTATGGTTTTGAAAATGAGGACAGCATGTGCTTGCTTTCAGATCTCCATTATAAGCTAATAATGAATCAGAAGCCACAGAAGAAAGGTAAGACTGAGGTCCTCAGTTACCGCTGTCAAGTGCAGCCCCTCCAGACTACCTGTGCCCACCCAGCTGCACTGGCTCATGACTATCCCAGTGGGGAGGGGTCCTACGAGATCTGGACAGACAGATGCCACTGCTCCTAGCCAAGGTCTCGGTGACAGGCACAGTAGGTGCCACTCTCAGGGAGCCCAAGGCCTGAGGTCTGTGCAGTAGGGTTAGTGGGCAGAGCAGCTAGGGGTGGGGTCTGCCCAGACCCTCCCCCGCCCTTACCAGCCTCACTACCTGGTGGGCTCTTTCGCTTGGCTTGCTGCTCTGACTGGCCTCAGGTTCCCTCCGAAATGCTGTGGGGCATAGCGCAGCCCCAGCCCCATTACTCTGGGCACACTCCGTCCAGGGATCCTTCCTGCCATCTCTGCAGTGACTGTGGGGGTTGGGGGAAGGAAGTGCAGACGCAGAGGCCTGCAGCCACTTGCCTGAGGCCTTTCCTCATCTGTGGGCCAATCACCTTGCCTTGTTCCCCAGCTCAGCCGAGGGATGCCCAGGTTGTCTTGGGCTTGCTCTTCCCACTAACTTTTGGGGCCAGGTCTGACACTGGGGGGTGGTCTGAGTGGTGAGTGGTGCCAGCCTGGAAAGCCCCAGTCTAGGGGTGCCCAGGGCTCTTCCTTTCTGGGAGACACACAGAAAATGGGATGGTGGGAGCCCTTGTTCGGGGGTCAGAGTAGCTCCAGCGAGCTGTCCTGGGCTTGCAGTGTGGCCCATTTAGCACCCCAGTCCTGCAGTATGGCGGGGGGGGGGGGGGGGGCGGGGTGGCGGAT